AGAGAATTCAAAGAAACTGTATATTGAGTTAATATTTTAATTGAGCAGCCCGCCATGAGACCAAGATTCCTTTTCTGACCAGTTACCCCTATTTCAGAAATCATTCATGTATTGACAAACTTTGGATTGTTTGTGCCAGTAGGCATCACTTTACACTGTACTGCATTTGCTCTTCTGAAGCTGTTCCAATTTGGAAAGATCTTTTTGTTGATCCTCACAATGCCCCGTTGATTTTACCACCCTGAATAGTTTGGTATCATCAGCAAGCATGGGAACTTAATTCCTTAGCCCTAACTCCAGATAATTTGTGTACAAGTTAAACAACATTTGCAACACCATCTCTGGGAGACTCCAGTTTGAAAACTGTCCATTTATTCTTGCTTTCTATTTCCTATTTTTAATTAGTTGTCAGCCCAGGAGAGTACTTGTCTACTTCTCCCATGGCTGCTATTTGCTCAGGAGCATTTTGTGAAGGACTTGGTTGAAGACATTTTGAATGTCTAGGTATGAAGTATCTGTTGAGTCACCCTTGTCTACATGCTTGTTGACATCCTCAAAAAGGTCTAGAAATCTCATCTTTGCAGTATTCAGCAAGGCTTCCTCCTCAATTGGTTTGCTTAATGTATTTTCTCTTGCTATTATTTACTCTTGAAATAATACTTCCAACTCTTCTCCCCAGCACAGATGTTAAACTAACTGGCCTGTAGTTCCCATAATTGCCCCTCAATTCCCTTTTTTAAAAATTGGTTTACCTTGGCCATATTCCAGTTTTTAGGAATAGATGTAGATATTAAAGGGAATATTTTTGTAAAAATATTTTTAAAATTCATATTTAACTGCTTAGAAACTCTTGGATAGATACCATCTAGACCTAGGTATTTATTTGTTTTGGGTTTATCAATTTGACTTTTAACCTTATTCTTCATTACTTCTATTCGTGTTTGTCCAAGTTACCTCAACCCAAAAAGCTTGGAATCAGGCTGGGGGTGTCTGCAACGGGGAAGCAAAATCTGCAAGATGGCTGGAGCATGTTGTGACTGAAACCCCCGCCCTTTGGTATATGCAGTTACAAAAGGTGCAAGGCTTCTGTTGTGATGCCCTTGGCCTCTTGCAGATTTTGACACACAAACATACATACTTCTGTGGATGAATCTGACATAGGCATCTATTCTACATCCTCAATGGTGAAAACATGTAATTTCTTTGCTGTTCTCCTGTTCTCATCTAGCAGTCTCCATCTTTTAATGGCCCAATGGCTTTCTTGGTTGGTTGTGATGCTGGGACTTCCATGTACTCTGAGTTGATTTAGATCGATTAGAAAAATGGGCTGAAAGTGACAGAAGGAAATGTAATAGTGACAAACACAAAGTTCTTGATTTGAGGAAAACACAGATATGAGTTGGGAAACACTTGGCTTGGCCATAATACTTGTGGAAAAGAGCTTGAAATGGTGATTGACTGCAAACTGAGTGGGAGGCAGCAGTGTGATGTGGCTGCCAAAAAAACAATTTTAGCCTGCAGTTCCAAATCACAGGAAGTTCCACTTTATTCTGCTTTTGTTAGGCTCCACCACAAGTGGTATGCTTAGTCCTGGGCAGCCAAGGCCCTGGAAAAGATATTCAAATGCTGTGATGTGTCTATACCTACAAAGATCAGAATCATGCAAGCCATGATATTCCCCGTGACACTCTATGGAAGTGAAAGTTGGACTTTAAAGAAGCAGGATAGGAAGAGTATTGATGCCTTTGAACTTTGGTGTTGGAGAAGACTCCTGAGAATTCCGTGGGCAGCCAAGAAAACAAACTGAGAGATCATCGTACAGATCAA